AGTACCTTCCAAAACCTGAAGCATTTACAGGTACTGGATATTGAAGGGAACCTTGAATTCAGCAACAGTTCAAAGAATAAGGATGGCTCAGAAGAGGAAATGGAAGATGAGGAAGAGGAAGAAGAAGAAGAACTGAGATAAAATGTGAACTCACACAATCCCATCATGTGGGAGGTAACAGCTGTAGTTGAGTTAAATCAAGGCCCCAGTTTTCAGACTCTTGTGTAAATAATTCCAATTTACACACGTGATTGAAGCATAACAAATGAGTATCTGAACCCTGAACTTAAAGACTTCCACTAAAGCTTGACGGGGAATCACAAATCAAAAAGGGTTGAAAATACAATATTTTGTAAAATGAAACATGATATATCTGTTTTATCAGACTTCTTGATGGACTGTTCTTATTGGCTTTTTTTTTTATAGCCAGAGCAGACACAGTAGTTAAAGATTCAGCTCCTTGTTCACTAATTCTGACAACAAAAAATGCAAAGGTATTTCATAATACTTTTAAGCAATTACTTCAAAAGGAAAACAAAGAACAAACTGTGAAGCTTGCTGATTCAGAAGATGTGAGATGAAAATAGATTAAAAATTAGACAAATTAAAGTAAGATTAGACCCATTGGTGTCTGTTAAATGTGTCATTAGATTACAAACTCTGTCTCAAGCAGTGTTTAAATCACTGACCACTCGGAGGGGAAAAATAATGCTATACTTCATGTATTTCTTATGGAAAGAATAGCATCTCTACTTGAATCTCTTTTCAACTGCAGAAAAAAAGATACAGGGACAATGATACTTGAAGAATATGCATTCTTTTCATAAGAATAGTGATCTATTTACTACATCTCTTAAGCATCTTATGTTCAAAGATTATGAGGTTCAGGATTGCTCTTTGCTTCTGGAGACCTAAGAGTGGGGAAAAAATAGTTTTGTCCCTAATCAACATATTGTTACTGAGAATGACACAAGGAATTGCTAGGAATAGTGCTAATAAGCTTAAAAGATGATGGGGCTTGAAAAGGGCAGAAGGTAATTGGGAAGTCAAACATTAGCCCTCCTGGCTGGGTTATATGAAAACTGTGTTAAACAAGAAATAATTTATATCTACAGACTTAGGGTACTTTCAAAATCAACGCCTCTCCGGTTTAGTTTTGGGGCACATGTGCCATGTCAACAGGTACTATGTTTGTCTTATTCTGAATTCTGTATTCCATTATGTAACTTATTTTATTTTATTTTCTGTTTTACAGGAAAACATATGGAAAAATACATATGTGTCTATGTGTATACATCTATATAGATATACAGAGAACACTTAGCAAAACGTGCAATGAATTATGCAGAAACTGTCGTGGCACTGGGCCAGGCTCATGGAAGACAGTGTGTTTCAGTGCCTTATTCAGGGAGAGACCCTGAATGCCTTTCCAAAGCTTCCAAATCATCTTATACAAGACCCAGGATCATAAGGGATTGCTCTGGAACTCACAAAAGCTGGCTTTTGTTTCTTCTGTTTCTCTTCCCTCACTGTTTCCATCTGTAATAACAATATGGGACTGTTTTGAACACAGGCCTTCAAATGCCATTTTTGTCACTGCATTTTAAGTGAACCATGTTTATGCCTCTTTTATTTTCCTCCACCCAAAAGAAGCTGTTCTTGGCCAGATGAATATCTGCAGTAGTTTCATGTGCAGAGCAGTGTATGAGGCATTTGGTCATCAAGCAGCAGTAATAATTCTGGATGCAATTATTTCTCTGTTATAACAATGTGTATATTTGGATGAGAAAAACAAAATAAGGCTGGATCCCGTAATATTTTATCTCTACTGCCAAAACCTGCAGTATATTCTGGTTTAGAAAGGTTTTAAGATAAAACAATTGCTCTTGTGAATATATATATATATATATAAATGCATATATAAAATCTCTATGTCTGCCTTCCAGAGCTTTGGTAAAGTTTCTGTCTTGCTGTTTGCCCATGGGGCAGTTAGGTGAATGTCTCCAAAGGTGTGATCAGAGGATGGAGTGACAGGATGAAGTTTAATGGATGTGGTAGAATTTTCTGCAGTTTCTTTTTCCCACCAAGAGGCAGGAGTGAGACTAATGGTGTAGAAGAGATTAGTGAGTGTGGGCTGTCTTAGGAGAAAACCATTAAGTATCAAAAGAAATTTGTTTCGTTCAAGACTGGAGACAGTACCTGCTGTCATACTCCCTTAAAGCTTCCCCTATTTTATGATGCTGAGTGCTCTCAGCTCCTGTTGGAATCACAGAAAATAAGGAAATCAAGGAAAAGAAGACCTACAGAGGTACAAGTTTCTCAGTTGATTATAACGTCCTTCATCTGAGGCAGCTAATCTGCTTGAGGAAATTGTCTTTTCTTTTGAGGATTTCTGATTGAACACATGTTGTTTTGCATACTGCATTCCAGGATTGACTTGGAAACACAGTTGGCTTAATTTTTTACCAGCTGTTTTCCTGCTGGAGATCTAGTTCCACACTCTCCCTTTTGTTTCCCATAGCTCATGACAGTAATTTCAAGCTGTTGTTTCCTACCTTAGACAATTCAACACACTCATTAATCATAGAAGGAAATATTGCTTCCTGAAAAAGTAAAAGCTTGGCCCCAGAAATTGCAAAACCCACACATTTTTGAATATCAGCTATACAGCTGAGCAATAAAATATCCTTCCAACTGACTGCTGGGATAGATTTCTGTGTAAAATGTCTACAGAATGTAGCTCAGGTCAATTAGCCATCTCCAGCAAACTTCCAGTGGAAGTTCTGCCAGTCTTCTGTGAAAAAGACCAATTTATTAAACTCCTGAACAAGCTGAGAATATGCAGAATTGTATACTTTTAAGGAGAACTGTTCTATTGTCTTCAAACTTCTGTCCCTTGGATTAAGATTCTATGAAAAGTCAGGTGCCTCAGACTTCTTTGAATCCCTTGAGAGTCTGACGCAGTGAGTGCAGGAGTGAAGGTTAATTTTAGCACCTGTAGAATCAGGCCCAAAATGTCAGGATGACACATGCACTGTTAAGCTTCTTGAGCAAGCAGCAGCCTTTGCCAAAGGAGACTCACCTACAGTTTAAGGTGCACATAGCATAAAGGTGAAGTTAGAAAACACTTATCCAAGTTTGTTTCAAGTAGTTGCGCTGAATTTGTCCTTTAAATGGGGCATTGTTTTCCAGCAGCAAACTCCCCCTAAAAAACACCACCACTCTTACCCAGTAAAAGCCTCAAATGCTCCAAGATTATTTGATTGTTCTGGAAGAGATTGGTGAGGGAGAACCACAGGCCTTATTCCTCACTTACCTGCTATTGTCAGCCCCTATGACATTGGACATAAATGTTGTCAGGCCAAAATAGCAGTTTATGCCTTTCTCTTAAAAGAAGAAGAGATGCCATGAGGGATGTTGAGGTATCATCAGAAGTCCACAGGACTAAGCCTACATATTTTTGACTGTGGGTGGTACCCATCATCCAAAAGTCCAATCCAGACCTTGTATGGAGCAGGACCCAGGAACAGGCTCTCATTTTATTATTTCCTTTAGTGAAAATGGGAGTTGGGAAGTTGGCCTTTTCTTAGGCCACAAAGAGGCAACACAAATATTGCTTTCATGTAACTTCCTGTAATTTGCCTGGATTTAGGAAAGAGAAGAATAGAAGAGTTTTAAGGCTGAGATAGATGTATAAATAGTGAAAACTTGAAGTCTAAAACATTCAGTTGGCAACTTTATCCCTAAATATGCATTTGTGCATGCTTGGTATTCCTGTGTGGTCTGTATGCAGATGGAGGTCTGGGTTTATTTGCTGTTTTTCTTTTAAAAGCCATGTTTCCTCATTACAGAGAATACTGCAAAAAAATGGGGGAAAATGGGATTTTTCCGAGCTCATTACAGAGAATACTGCAAAAAAAAAAAAAAAGGGAGAAAATGGGATTTTTCCGAGCAATGATTTTTCACAGCGACGGGAGTACAAATGCAGCTTGAGAGCTATAAAGAATTAATCAGGTGCCAAAAATAGCTCGTGGATAATGAGCTTTTATTTCAGGCGGTGGGCACGCAGCCCATCTGTGCCTGCCATGTGGACGGGCCGTTCCGCAGCCGTTCTCCCTCACCCCGTTCCTCCAGGATCCTCGCCCCATGGCCATCCCCTCAGAGGGTACCAGCCCCTGCTCCTGCCCACTGCCCCTCCTGCCCACACCGCCGCCTCCACATAACCCCATGGCTTCTTCCTTGGGCATTCCTGAGGGAAAAAGGCCCTATTGCTGCATCTTCCCCAGGGCTTTTACCTCCCCACATGGAGTTACCCCCTTTGCCTCCCCGACGTGCTGTGAGGGGCCGCATGCGGGGAACCCGTTCCCCTCTGCTCCCCACACTCCCACAGCCGCAGGCTCCTCCTGACCCAAAGGGCACAAAGGCGCTCCCACAGCGGAGCGGGCGCCATCCCGCCGGCTGTGAGGGGAGGAGCGGCCGTGGCCGTGGCGGCCCCTCTGTGGGGAGGGAGGCGGCACAGGGCCGAGGCTCTCCCCATGCAACATGGTACCCTGTGATTCCCTCTGCAAGGAGCACCATGATCCCGATGTCCCCAGCCTCAGCTGGCAGGAGGGGTGAGCTCCAGGGGGCCCTTGTGGGGCGGAGGGAGGGAGGATGAAGGACGGAGCCAGGGCCTCTGTGGGGTGGTGAGGAGCGTCCTGCCCTGCCTCGAGCGCCTCGAGCGCCGTGCTGTGGTGTCCGGGGTCTAAGTGTTCTGTTTAATGAAAAAGAAGTGCTTTATGCAGTATATAGATACTCTTCTCAGGAAAAAATATTTAAAAACTATTTTTTGTAAAAGTAAAGGTGGGACAAGACTATTAACAAGAGCATGCAGTGACAGGACAAGGTGGAATGTGTTCTAATTGAGAGTAGGTTTATATAAGTTATTAGGGAAAAAATTCTTTATTGTGAGGGTGGTGAGGCCCAGGCACAGGTTGCTCAGAGCTGTGGCTGCCCCATCCTTGGAGGTGTTCAAGGTGAATTGGATGGGGCTTGGAGCTGGTGGAACGTGTCCCTGCCCATGGCAGGAGATTGGAACTAGATGGTCTTCAAGGTCCCCTTACAATCCAAAGACTCTGTGATTCTATGAAAAAAAGAAAAATCCCCAAATCAAAACTCTGGATGAAATTTGAAGGGGGATGTGGTGGGGGCAGAGGGAGGCTGCCAATGCCTCCCTTGAGGGAGCAGTGACAGCTCCTTGAGGAACTGACTGAAGATCTGGCAGCAGGACAGTGTCCCCAGCAGTGGGACAGGATACCTGGCAGTGGGACAGTGCCCCCAGCAGTGGGACAGGGTCCTCGTGGCGCTGCTCCCTGGAGCTGGCAGCTGCTCCCCTCACTGGGCAGGCAGCCTGGGCCAGGCAGCCCTGCTGGGGCGAAGAGCTGCTGCATCTGCTCAACAGAAGAATTGCTGCTTTTGGGACTTGGAGATTATTTATCTTAGCTGTCATAAATCCTTCAGGACTACATTGAAAGGGAAACTGGGGAAAGGATCCTCCAGCTCCTGCAGGTGCTGAAGAGCTGGGCTGGCAGGGTTGCTCCCGAGGCGTCTGTGGCCACACGCCCTCCTCCTCTCCTGCTGCTGTGCAAGACAGACACGGGACTTTTCCTGAGCAGCCGTTCGGCGCACGCAGGAGTGAGGCTGGGGACCTGCATGAGCAAAGTGCGTGAGGATGGGAAGGATCCTCCTTCCTGGGACCCCACTGCCATTTCTTCTGCTCCCTAGTGGTCCATGCAGAGCAGGGAGGTGGGAGGGGTGTGATCAAAACTTCTTGATTGTTCTCTCTTGAAAGTGTTTCCTGGTGGTAAATAAGAGTTTAGTTTATGATGCCCCTTCTCACCATATTGACTGAGCCCACTAACATTTTTGCAAATTTTTCTTAAAAAAACCCAAGCAAATTTATTCTTATTTAACAAGAATAAAGACATATTTTACAAATATAATTTTTGATGGGAAGCAGTCTCTTGGGAAGCTTCTATGATACAGTCCAATATCCTGTTAATTGATTTCATTCTACAGTGTAATGTTGATGAGTCTTAATTCCTGGGCTTGGGTGTAGGTATCCTAAAAACTTAAACATATATAGAGTCTTACATAATATAAGCTTAGTTGTTGTTTTTTTTTTTGTTTTTTTTTTTTTTAATATTTCCTTCTTTAATGGATCCATTTATGGAGGTCATTGTAATTGGTTTATCATTCTGATACAAGAACAGTGAGTAAATTCCCTAAGGAACTCCATTGCCTTTAGTGAGGAAAATATTGGTGTGCCCTGTGGCTGTGATTCATGCTGCTATTGTGAAGTCAGCCAGCTGTGAGATATATGTGCAGGCAATGGATGATAAATGTGTTCTAATAATCCAGTATACAAAGTATTTCCATAAAAATTCTTCAGTAGTATCCAAGGACATTAAAAAGTCCATCAAGAAAGTCCTTCATTAAATGGTTTTGAATCAGGCAAAGAGTGTTTTAATGCACAGTTGTACAGGCTACTCAAATTTTCCCCATGATTGTTCCAGAATCTCTTTTTAGCATATGATTATGATACTGCTGAGAATGTTGCTTCTGATAAAAAATTGTATTGATTTTCAGTATTTTCAATTCCAGTTGCATACAAGAAATTAATGAGACTCATTTTGTTGCTTGGGATAGAATTGTGTGTTTGTTGACAGTCATCACAGGAATTAGCTTTAAAAAGATCTTAAGATCATCTTTTATGCAGGATTAAAATTCACTTTGATTACTTACATAACACTCTAGATGTCCCCTTCTTTCTGGTGGAGCTCTGTTTTGGGTCTGTTTATTGCAAATGCAGCAGTGGAATACAACTCAAAGCATTTCCCTGATGTGCTGAAGAGTTGAGGCTGTGTACCCTGAGGCACCCCCACCATCCACAGCTTGAATGATTTGATGCTGGAAGACTCACTTTGGTTGTTCCTGCTCTCTCTGCAAAGCAGCTAGGAGGAACCAAAAGGAATCTCCCAGTGCCAAACCAGGCAGAAACAACCAAAGTGAATCTTTCCAGGTTGTTCCCACCTGTGGAAGATGAACAAAATGGGATGCAGATCACCTCTTAATACCTATTGTGAAATTTACTCTGGAGTGCTTGTGCAGAAAGCGAGGTGTGGAGCTGTACATCAGTCCTGTGCTCAGCACCAGTGTGGAGACCACAGCTGAGAAGGAGTTGGGAGAAAATTCTCCCAATTGCAGAGCTTTTAAACTTCCTTTCAGAACTTCCTGCTAGAGCTAGATCCAACCACTGCTGGACTGACACCTCCTGTCCATCCTGATTCCTCCCTCCCCACATATGAGGTTAGGAAGGATTAATGTCAGAGAAATTATTTATTTTATTGAAAAAAGTGGATGATTTATTCTAAAACAAAGATTATACTGATTAACTATCAATATAGACTACCCAAATCTCCGGACTTTGTTTTCTGGAAAACTCATTAAAGAAATATGAAAGTATTTAAATGGAAAAGAAGAAGAGTTGAAAATGCTCAGTTTGACTTAGTTCTGTATACTTTCCACATGTTTTTAATAGCCTAGTGGTAAAACCCAACACAACCACGAGAAGCCATGAAATCATAATGAAACATCTCAAGGTCAGTCTCATTTTTCTTTGGTTTTGCCATTTAGCCCATGCAGTTTTTGTAGCAGATGTAACATGAGATATCTGTGAACATAAAACACTTCTTGTTTTGCTTCCCCTGGTTTTTCCATCTTATTAAAATTCTTCTTTTTTCGGGGGAGGGGAGGCAGGGGGAAGGCAAGTGGTGGGCTGGAGATATCAGATCCTTTTAGGAAAGTTCAAAAGCAATGATTAACTATGGTGAGTTTCATGTGGTGGGTCAAAGCCTGGCTTTCAGCTGGTGTGGCATGCAGAAACACAGAAGCATACATTTAATTCCTAAATGAAATGCAGATATCTCTTTGTGATGAAAGAGGGCTGATTTTAAAGCAACAGATGTAGAACTCTTCGTACCTTGCAGAACAAAACTTCCAGAGATGGAACCTGAAAAGCACATCTGTGACCTACCTGAGCACATCCCAGTGGAATTCCCAGTGGAAGGGAAATCTAGAGTTTTATAATGATTTAGTTGCAAACTCTTCAGGAACAACATTTGCAGGTTCTTGTGCTGGACTGAGTGCTGTGTGGTGGTTTGGAGGGAAGGAGAGCTGTGAAGGGAGTCACAGATGCCTGTGGGTACCTGCAGACCTCAGTGGCCATGTGGGGACAGGAGCTTTGTGAGGAGGAAGGATGCTTTGCTCCCTCCCTACATCTCCAGCTCTTGGGACCATCTCATTGAGGAGCCAGCTGGGAAAGAAGGTTTGATTCTATTGCAGGAGAAGTGATTGAACATTTTCCCTCTTCACCCACCATACTCCCCATCTTGTCTTTCTGAAGCCTTCTGTACTCGTTCCCCAAAATACCACTCTGTCAGTAACAGGCTGCTACGATTTTACTTTTGACAGCCTGCAAAATTTCTAAAATACCTTGTGACACAAATCTGCCAAAAGTCTCTGCTGTGCCAAATCTATTCCCATATATCATCTTCTAGGCAACAGTGATACAACTGTTGCTGCTTTGTAAATGATGGCATCTGAGGTTCTGTCACTTAAAATGGAAGCCTGGCAATTCTTGTCACTATTGTGAGTAGTGCTTCCAGAGAGACAGAAGTGGCTGATCCAAGGTAATCATGAGTCCCCTGTACTGTGTTATGTAACTGTCTCAGTCTTCAGCTCATTTATCCTTACCATGCATCACCCTGTTGATTTAGAAAGGACCTTTTCTCTGTTTACAGAGGGGAAGCAAACCCTGCATTCTTGTGGTCACTTGGGAAGTCTGAGTGAATAACGAACCTGACCTTAAGTAATGACCACCCTTCCTGTTCTATTGATCTAATCCATTTGGGGTTTTGTGGGACAAACCCTCTTACAAATTCCAGGAATATCAATCAGTATGCTCCAGAGTAGTTAGTAAGGAATGTAATTTTGAGTGTCTCTCATCTCAGTTGTAGGTGAAATCACAGGCTAAATTGAGAATTTTAATGCATGTGTTTAATTTTCAGCTCAGCCCTTAGTGAATGGGTTCATTAAATTTGTCTATTCTGGAGCCTCTTTTCCAAATGCAGCAGAGCCAGAGTTATTACTGCGAAAAGCTGCTGTGCTCTCCCACTGCAAGGTGGGCAATAGAAGCATTCTGGTAGAAAAACCTTCATTACTTTGTCTCCTCCCTGTACTTAGTCCTCAGATGGGGGGCTGTGATCCCAGTCAGCTTTAATGCCTGCAGGGGAAAGCCAGCAATTGCTCATTGACAGAGCTGCTCTTGCTGGAAAAACACACCTGGGTGCTCAGCAGAGGCACAGACGGGGGGGGCTTAGCGCTGGGCAAGATCAAAGGCAGCCTGAGCTTTCCACATTCACTTATCTCCCAGGTTACACATTTTGCTCGCACACATCAACCGCCGTCTGCTAATAGTTACCTCATTTTTATGGAAAGCACAGAAAGGACTGAGGTCATTTCCAAAACTATCCATCTGGCTTGAAGATGAAGCTTTCTGTCTGCTTTGAAAGTATTATAAATCAGTTTGCTGTTGTTAAAAAGGGACTAAAATTGATGTTTGTTGTAGAACTGAAAGCGAGACCTCATCAAATGGGGGTGTTGCAGAGTTCCTGTCTTTTCTAAATGCTATAGAATTGCTAGAATAGCAGGGTGGGCAACTCAATTTAAACTCCAGTTTTGACTATTTAGATAATCTTATTTGTATGTTAGGATTTGTATTCAGCTAGCACAAATAAACTTAGGTGCAATTAAATAATTTAAGTAGAATCAATTAAGACTAGCAGAGCTTATGAGTAACTGTATTAGTTCTATAAACTTCTGTATTAGGGTCGGCAGCCAAAAGCTCTTGGGAATTAGTGGGATGTGTAAGTGTTCTGGTTGTATCTCTTTCTCTCAGTTCTAATTGTTGCACAAGGATATATTACAGCAATTCAACACTGCAGAACTTCCTTGGCATTGGCAAAGTCCTCAAGAACCTGTTTTAATGTGTCTTTAATGGTGTTCTATGCCACAGTAATCTGCAGTGGCTTTCTTCTCAGCAGTATCATCAGAGCAAAGGAGTTGCAAATTAACAAGCATAAAACTGCCTCTGATAAATATGTGCTGATTTGGGTTACTTCCCAAATTCTTTCTTCTATAGCTGTATGCAGTGCACTACCCTTCTTAATTATCTTCTCTCCCTCCTCAAGAGTCTTCCCCAGTGTGCCTTTAGAAGACTTTAATTGGCCACATTCCCTTTCTGTTTAGCAGGGGGAGGCAACTTCAAAATAGGATTGAATGTTGCCAGTTAAGAAATATGTTCTTTCCACATATGCTTGAAATTATACCATGCAAACTGTTGTAATAAATGATTGACTGGTCGATTGATTGGTTTTTTAGTATAAATTTTTTGACACTGTAAAGGTCACATGTTTGTTTTTATCCTCTGAAAGTAGGAGAAACATATTTACCAACACAAAGCTTGCACTCTAACTTGATAATCAACAGCTTTGTTATTTTTGTTGGAAGGAAGTGTGATTATAACTGGAAAATGTGAACAGACCCATGCATACAAATATCTTATGGAACCTACTGCTAGTCTAATTGCACTGTGCATCAAGCTGCTTGACAACACACACCACGAGACACAGAAAATAGCTAAATGGAGGAAAACTTACCATAGAAATGATCAGAAAGTGTCATAACATCAGTGTCACCTCTCCCAGCTAGCAGTGGTGTCTTGTGTTCAGTACAGAACGACTGCAGTAGCAGCCAGGTGCTCCAGTCAAGGACACGATACACTAAGCAACACACGTTCACCAGAACCAAGGCCCAAAGTGCCTGAGGCCTCTAGCTAGAGCATTTCATACCACAAATGGAAAAGGCCAGGTGAGAAACAGGACCATTGCCTTCCTCCCAGCTGAATGGGAGGCAAATTTTAAAAATCCAAACAGTAAAATGTTAAAAACATAATGCATTTCCAATTTGCAGAGCAGAACTGGACACTCTTTGAGTGGGGTTTGAATGCAGAGAGCCGATTTTAAACCAGCCTGTTGATTCCATAAAAATATGCATTCACACATGAGGTTCCCATATTTCCTACATGTGAGAACATCATGGGCAAAATTTTTGAAAACCCATAATGAGTTTTCTTTGTTGTGCAGGACTTGAGCAGCACAACTGACTGCTGATGTTTGGTGCTTCATCTCATTTGGAGTTCTCCTTCTAGGAGCTGCTTAAGCACCAGAGCTGACTTAGACCTCTTGAGCCATGATTGCACCGAAAAGTGTCACACCAAGTAAGCTGTCTCAGGCAAGGGGCAAAAGGATTTGCACTTGTAGTTAGCCAAAGGTTGTAGGTGGCTGGGCTGGAAGGAGGTGGAAGGCTGGGAGCACTTTCTGCTTGGCACAGTGGCATGGTGTGTGGGCAGACTCTCCAAAACCGCTTAGTCCAGAACTACTTGTTCCAAGTCTTGGATCCACTTGGCCTCTTTCTTTGTAATTTTTATCTAGGCAAGGTGCTTGTAAACTGATAGATGACTGGCAGGATCATACTAGCACTTCATGTAGCTGTAATTGACTGGGTGGAGCTGAAACTTTCTGTTGTGTTTTCTTTGTGGGCACGGTTGGCACGCAGAGACCCTGCCCAGAGCATCCCCGGCTGCTTGAGCTTGTCCCTGCATCACCCCTTCACTTGTGTTGATACAACTGTCTGTTAGGACTATGCTAAAAACATATGTGAACTGGTTTGAATTAAAAATACTTCTCATCTGGTTCTTTGTCTGGCCTCATAAATAACTGGGTCTGTACAGCTGGGAGAGGAGGGGAGGCAGTGCAGGCAGGAATGGAAAGCTGGGAGGGATGAGGGGGACCTCCAGGAGCTGCCAGTGCTGCTGAGATGAAAAGTATCAGATGTTGTGTCTGTCAGTCAGTGCTTCTGCCCATTCAGAGGGGCACAGACCAGCCTCAGCTCTCCCCAGTCACTCATTCTTATGACACTCTGCAGAACAGGTTCTTTACTGGCTTGTACTGGAGCAAACTGCTCTGAATAATTTCAGTTCTTTCCTATTCGTTGTGTTCTTTGTTGTTTTCACTCTAGAGTCAAATCGAAAAAACAGTTACCAACTGTATATATTTTCAAAATAATGCATGATTTCTGAGGAAAGGAAGACCTATGTGTGTTCTTTCTGGCTTTACTGCTTGGTAATTAAACTACCTATACTACAGTGCTCTGAGGGAGCTATTCAGTGCATGATGTAAGAAACAGTCTGAACAGGAGCCCTTGAAGAGGTGAACATGTACATCCCAGGAAAACCTCTAATCATGAATGAATGATACACTGAATCTGCAATGAGCTAATGCATTAAACACTTCTGCTACTGGTTAATGCAGAAATTGTCCTTTTGGACTCGGTTATTTTTCCCCTACAGATGAGAAGAGCATATTAGAATACCAGGCACATGGTATCTCAAGCTGCTATGCCACAAGTAGCTAAATATAATATGTCAAGTGTATTGGTATGAGCTGGTGTGTAATCTCTAGATCAAATCCCAACTTTTCAAAAGGTCTCCTCACTTCAACTCTCTATTTTAGCAGACATAAGAAGACACTAATAGTAGAAGTGCACAGACAGCCTGTTTTTAAATGGCAGGTTTATTAAAAATGTTCTCTATCACAAACATTGGAAACATATGTGGCAGACTTTGCTGTAAGTGCAAGATTCAGTAGACAGTGGAAAGGGAGTAACTGTCAACTGAATTATGAGAAATAATGGGGCAGTTTCCACAGCAAACTCCTCATAAAACCCCATTTTAACTCAGCATCCTCGGGTCCCAGTTTGTGTTCAGTCTGCCCTTTGGACGCAGCACATAGTGAGCTTGAGCTTTGAGTTTATACATATTTACAGTAGAACAACCTATATGGTACAGGAGAGGACACATTAGCACCAGTGCTTATGGATTAGAGCTCACATCACCTCTGCCACTGCAAGTGAATGGAACTGACCTTACTGAAGAGTTAGGTTAAAAAAAGGTTAATAAATCTGGCACTTGGAAGGCAAACTGTGCTCTGCAGTGATCTAGGAAATCTTTGTGTTGGGTATCACACTTGACTGCCTGTCTCTGAAGGCTGCCCATCACAATTACCTTAATGTCCTTCCTTGCATAAATGCACACTTCACTTCCCCTGTGCTTGCACTATTTAGGAATAGATGTAACCCCTTGAGATCAGGAAATCAGTGTGATTTTCTTACTGCTGTTCTAAAACTAAGCACAAACTCTATATTTAGCGAATATTAGACAAAATTAGTATCTTTAGCAATTTTGGTGAAACATTTTCACATCGCAAAAGTTCTACAGTGTTGGTAATTACTGAGATTCACAAAAAAAGGCTTTGGTTAGAAAATCAAAAAGGGTCAAATAAAAAAAAGCTTTTTAAAAAAAGGAAGCCAAGGGAGTGTCAAATACTATATTGAAGTCAATGAGTGCAGAATAAAACTGTAGCAGTCCATTAGTTAATTTTCCATAGTAAAATCTTCCACCTAAAGAAGCCCGTGTCTCTTGCAAGCTGTGTGCCTCTCTTGACGTTCACAGCTGGTCTCCTAGCTCCAGTGCAAGCAGGGTGGTCATAAGTCCACGCTTTCCTGTTCAAGGCAAAGAGTCCTTCTTCCAGCTGTGAGGTAGAGATTGGGTATCAGGTCACTGGGGTGTGAGATACCTCGGAGTGTAGCAGTCACACATTTGTTTCTAGTTCATTTATTTCAATAGTGCAGTGGTCTTTACTGTTGGATTTCTTAGTGTGATTCTCCACTGGAGTTTCTTCTTGCTCCACTTGTATGGGTATATGGTGCTGCAACCCTTTCACTGTTTCTGGTCCACGAGATTCATTCATGGTCTTCACACAGCCATTTCTCTGGTAAGCCACAATCTGATGGATGTTAATAGGCTTAGTTTCACAGATCAATGGCACCTATGTGAAAAGCATTAAGATCTGGAATACTGCCACTGATTGCTGTATACAACAGGAAGGGAATTTTTACTTGGAAAGCCTGTGGGCTGCTTTACATTCACCAGGATTATCTAGAGCCCCCATGGACTTCCAGAAGCTGTTTCTCATATACACTAAGGCATCTTTGCACCATCTGCATGAAGCGAACGAGTCTGTGTAAAAATGCAAATTCTGTCACAACTCGAATTGAACTTACAGTCATGGTAACAGGTGCTTGCCATTGGTAAATTGATACAACTAGGGTAAATAGAGACCAGAATTCCAGGGCTCACTTCAAAAAGTACAGACTCTCAATGGCCACTGTGCTGAGCTCTGGGCAGTGCTTGTTCTTGGGTGCAATTAAATAGACCAACAAACCATTTGTTGTTGCCTTATGCCTTTCTTCTAACCCAATAAAATAACACCTGTCTCTTCAGTTGTGTCTGTTTTGAAAGAAATGAAGGGGATTTTATTAACTGATTCATAAGTTAAATATTGAAGTGTTCTTTAAATCAAACCAGATTCTGATGGGGAAAGTAAGACGTAAATACTGGCAAAGAAAGGAGGTGGGCTTGCAGCTGAGAAAATATGGCCTTTGGGTATATATTACTAACTGCACAAATTATGCAGCCAAAACGTATGGCAGACTAGCAGTATATTTTAATACCATTACAGAGCATGATTCAAAGAAAAATCTCATCACAGATGACTAAATAATCCCTCAGGAGGGATTTCATATTACTGCAACGTCTATTCTTAAGTTCTGACTGAGTTCTAAATACAGCAGTGAAATGTCAGGAGGCCTGTGTTATGCAGGAGCTCAGCCTACACTTCTGGCTTTGTAATGGGTGACCTACCTTGCCCATAGGTTGTATTTTAGGGGGTTTGTAGGTAGCTGCATGTGTAGCCCCTGTAGTCAGGCATAATCCTGTCATCAGTAATTACTGCAGGTGCTAATTACCTCAGAGGACACTGCCTGTCTTTCTACATACTACTTGAAAGAGCAGGAATTTTAAATGAATGTTGCAGGAAGGCATGGGAATGGGATTGACCACAAAATTCTAAAATGAGAGAAATAATGATAGAAGCAAAACTTTGCTATTTGTGTGGAAACCTACAGATGATGCACAGAAATGAAACTTGTCTTGTGAAGATTAGTCCCAATGAAGAAGTGTTCCTGCATTACTGTTCTGTCTTAGTTGAAGAAAGGTAATGAGATTCTGCCATGAGCTAAAATGGTTGGAGATTAGCACCTCCAAATCTGATGGGCTCATGGAATTAGGAATCTCCTTTGTCAAGGATTGAAGGAAGGACATGAGGAGTTCCTGTTACAAGGAAAGATTGAATCATGCATGCCAAGGAGGAAGGAGAAAATGCATAGGAGTGGAAGGAGGCAGGGGCAGAATACAGATGTATGTGTGCTGTATGAAAAAAGATACAGAGGAGGAAAAAACAAAGCTGTAAGGAAGGACTTGTATTAAATGTAGAAATCATGAAGATGTCTGAGAATGAAGTCTAGGATGAGTCGTGCTTGTGCTAGTCTGGAAACAAAATTCTTGCAAAGGTGGCTTCAGATTATGCTGACTCAGGGGCTAGCAGTGCCAGGGTAGTTGCTTTTGATGTGAGCTCATTGATTACACACATACACACTCATGCATACCTTTACTTCTCCCTCCACACAGGTGGTCAAGGACATCTGTCACCCTGCCCTGATGCTGGTCACACTTCTAGCAGGACAAATTACTGGCCAGTCAGGACCTGGGTGCTGAGTGTGGGACTCACAGTCCCAGCATCTCATGCATTTGCAGGACAGCGCAGCTGCTTCTGCTGCTCCCATCCCCAGTGTGCCAGACACAGCTGCCTTGCAAGCTCTGACTCCAGTGGCTTTTCACATGACATAATGGGAAAAGATCCCTCCATCCCATGTGCTAAGCTGCCCATTGCCCAATTCTGTCCTTTCTCTGAAGCATCCTTTATAAACTGGAGGAATCAAATGGGGGGGCTCACAGGTTCTTTGCCACAGTACAGCACACCCTGGCACACCATGGCTCACAGTGTGGTTACCTCATTGCCATCCTTGATGAACTCCTTCCGGCAGATGTGGGCCATGATCCCAGCAGCCAGCGCGTCCCCCAGGACATTGATCATTGTTCTAAACCTGTCTCTGGAAAATGAAACAATAATGGTAAGGTGTTGGCTCTTTGGGTAAATTCCTGTGCTTCCATCAGCTGTAATTATGCCTGAAGGCCAGTTTTGCTGGGTTTATGAGCTAAAATGTTTAGAAATGTTAAGAAGTTTGGTATCAGGCATCCTGTATTATTGAACAGGTAATTTGGGTTTTCCAGCCTTTTCTGAGCTTGGTGTGCTGTGCTGCCACACACTTGATTGTGTAACTGAGCTAAGTGGAGTAGCTGTGTCCCCCTAGAGATGCAAGCTGATTCAGCACTAAAAAGGTGGAACTGCACATCACACCTGCATTTCTGTCCCAGTTTATACGTTAAGGTCCAGCAACATGGCCTGATTTGGAGACTGGTGCTGCAAATGTCAGAATTCAATAAAAGCAGAGATCAGCCAACACAACCAGTCCCTTATATTAGTGATCATGGTACCAATCTTAGCAACCAAAGTGCTACTTAATAAGATTATTGTGTTGGTAGAATGGGCAGGATACAATCAAAATAATTCAGAAGATTGCTATGTAGCTACACTCACAAACCAAGCAGCCACTGACCATATTTAAGTAATGTTCATTTCTGTAAAACCTGTGGTGACTTTGACTCTTACACAACCTAGGCAGTAGCTCCTAAAGACTCTTCATTTTCAGTTACCTTTTCCAATTTAAATTTGTATGCTTGACAGTATTTGGTATACATAGTTAAACTATTTTTCATTTATTCACTTACGGGATTTCTTCCCTGTTTACACCTTTTACCCACTGTCTAAAAAAATAAATCTGTTAAAATACAGATTGCAAATAGACAAAAGTAACTGTCTGCCATATAGAAGCATTACACTTGAATCATCCTGGAACCTATTAGTTAAAATTGATGAGATTTCAGATAGATTATATAGCTTCTAGGTCTGAAATACATAATGTCTTTTCCAAGAAAAACATATACATCTGAAAACTCTGTCATGTTAGTAACTTAATTTATAAATGTACGTTATAAAATGGAGGTTCAGAAATCTCCAGATGTTTGGCTTATTAAAGTCAGTGACAGTCCAATATCAACACTGCCCAGATTTCTGATCCTGTATCTTAATATAGAAAAGAATTGAAACTCTGTGCTGATATTTTTTTTCAGATACTTTGGGTTGGTACTCAGTGCATGTAAATGTTTATGCATTTGTTTGCTTAGTTATCATGAAAATTCCTGCATGAAAGCTTATTTGTGTGTGGAGTTACCACATTGTGTGTGCAACTGTGAGTAACTTCAGCAATAATACTCCACAGCCTACACCTAGACACAGTTGTTGACTCCAGGACCCAGTCCTACACTTGTTTGCTCAATCCATTTTTTTAATTCCTGCTGTTCTGATTTTGGATTTTGTCTTTTTGGGTTCGGAAATTTCCACAAGAACATGTTAAACAGGGAAAAAAAGGCAGTTACAGCACACACTGTTAAAAGTTCCTGTTACACACTGACTTCTTTCCTTCTTGATTATCAAATAGTGATTCTTGGAAAGATATTCAGTGTTGTGAATTTTGGATTGTGCAACAAGTCAGCTGTGGTAGAGAAGAAGTTGTATGAACAGAGCTCAAGAGTTTGAGCTCCCTTTTGAGCTCTAATTAACATCCCTTCAAGACAGGGTTTTTCCAAAGAAACAGTGCTCCACACTGAAACTCAAGAAAAGGGACTGCCTGGCACGTTGTTTGACCAGTTTGTTCCACATTCTGAGTGTATGGAGCAGTCTGCACTATGCATGAGGAGAATCACAACACACCACTGGCATTTCTCCACTGAGAGGCCAACCTGCTGCTGGTGGCATTTCTCTCAGTGCAAACGTGTGTCTCATAGGTATTTGAGCTGTAATTGATATTATTAAAGATGCAAAACTTTTACCTTGTGTTTGATAAATGAGCTAGGAAACATTTTGGTTTTCTTCTTTATGTCTCTAAGCACTAGCTAAAGGTATGAAGGTCACATACACGTTATGGCTACCTAAGAGAGGTGTAATACCTGCAGTGCATTGTAATGGGTATTTCAGTCTCCTGAGATCATCTAACCAGCCTTCTTTAAGCATTCTTCATACTCCAGTACTTCCAAAACTAATACTGAAAATATTCATCGTGTCAACCATGTTGACACTTTGCATCTGCAGGCTCTTGAAACCACCAAGTGCCGAAATACATAAATATGCTTTTTGTTTTAAAGGTCATCTGCAAAAGACAGAAAATTTGGTCTATTCCTTACTCACTTTTTAGTACCATCTGGAGCTATAGCCTGAAAAGTCTTTGCTTGGTTGTTTTGAATAGTTGTGTAAGACAAAAAGAAGAATAATTCCCATGTACACTGGAAGGCTTACTGGAAAAACAATGAAATGTTGATGTTGCAAGAGCTGGGCAAAAACTGAGCCATATAGAGGGAAAAGGCTTTTGTAATACAGTCTTAAAATATTCATACAACACAAGATTCATTACTCCTGTTAATGCTTATAATAATAATAATATTCTATTACACTGGACAGAAAATATTTTTTTCTCACAATTCTTCATTAAAAAAAAAGTGGCTAAAAGTTGAATAAAATAGGATATATAACAGAATGGACTTGTAACACAATTTATCCAGAACCCTGATGTAATGAAACGCCCTATACTAAAGGAGATATATTTTAAATAGCTTAAATAAAAATAATTTGGAAATTACCTTGTGTATGCATATGCTAGTTACACAGTTAATTGACATGCTAATGAGCTAGGGACCAGTATTTTATGATCTATCTTCCTAGACTATTCCAAATTGATTGTTCATCAGCATATACATGAAAGTTGAGAGTTCAGATAAACCACTCCATATGAATTTTTAAAGTGACTCTTCTCATGGGTGACACAAATCCCTTTCATCCTGACTGTGTTAAGTTTCAGCCCCTGGTTGTGCTGTTAAATGCCCCCTGATTGGGGATGCAGCAAAGTGCCCTCTCTGCAGAATGGCTGCAGTTGCAAAACTGGGGGCTGCAAGCAGGTGCTGCCTGTTTCGCACTGAAATCAGAGAGCATAGAATTGCATCAGGATCTGTGGTGAAAGGAAGACATTATTGGTGCCAGCACTCAGGCTGACTGTACTGGGGTTGCAGCAGCAGTAGCCATGCACAGCCCACACCATCACCATGCTGTCATGGCTCTTGTGGGCACGGGGGTGCCAGGGGTGCCAGTGGTGGCAGTGGTACTTGCTGGCTTTAGCAGTGGCTCAGGCCTCTTGCAGAGTGCTTCCCTGCTCTGAGATGATGGCCTTGAAATGTCAGTGGGCTGAAGCAGAGTGCAGGCAAACCATGTTTCCTAGGAATGTTGGCCCCTTATCCTTGCCCAAGGAAAGGTGCCAGAGTTGCCCCTTAAGCACATTTGTCTGGCTCAGCCTTCAAACTTGTCTTGAAGCTCATCATCCAACCTGGCTAGGTGCAGCCACTTCCACTGCCTGACTATCCTTCTACATAAAAGTAGTCCTTAAGTTATTTTGGGATCTGAATTGAGGTAGGTGCTTTGCTCTACTTCTTCATCCTCCCTCCCTGTGAAGGTGAAGATTGATCAATATGTCCTCTTCTGGACAATCTTGTCTATGTAATAAACTGCTGTAGTGACCTTTTCAGCTCTGGTTTTAGACTAAATGGACTCCATTTCTTCAGCCTTTCCATGCAAGACGTATTTCCAAGACTCATCTAGACTCCCTCATTTATCAGTCTTTTTCAATATAATGTCCACATCAGCAGAGTTTTTAATCTAAGGCTATATCAATACTATTTCAAATGACATAATCACTGCCTATCTAGACTCCCTCATTTATCTGTCTTTTTCAATATAATGTCCACATCAGAGTTTTTAATCTAAGGCTATATTAATCCTATTTCAAATGACATAATCACTTCCTTTGCCTTTATATCTATATCTATATCTATATCTATAGTGTTACTTACAGTGCCCAGTCGACAGCAATAATCAACGTGATGTCGTCTGTTGGTAACCCCACCGAGGTGAGAACAATGACCATTGTCACCAGGCCAGCCTGTGGGATGCCTGCAGCACCTATGCTGGCAGCTGTTGCTGTGATACTTTAACAAGGAAAGAAAGGAATAATCTTTACTTTCTGGAAGAAACCACACATGTTTCTAAACCATGCTCTTACACAAGCCACTGCATGGAAGTGCCAATGTTTTGTGGACAGAATCCAGGTGAGACAGCAAGGATAGGCCAAACTATCTGCCCAGGGCTAAATTCTCACCCTCAGCCTTTGCAGCCTTGGCACTGGTGGGGCAGTTCTGTTCTCTCCCAGTATCAAAGGTGCAGAGCAGAGGGGCCAGCCAGGCTGTGGGCTGAGTTCTGCCAGCTTGTCCTGGGTGATGACACCACCCAGAGCTGTGTGCCAGGAGTCTGCCAGCCCCCCTCATGGCTGTTGTCCTTGGCAGCCAAGCTCCCAGCAGACACCTCTGGGTCACCATGGGCAAATCCGTGGCTGGCCCTGCCTGGGGCCTTTACTGTCAATCTGTCTCAAGGGTTAGACCAAGGGTGAAGAGGCTGGGCCAGGGTGAAACCCTTGCACAGCGCATGGCTTTGCATACTTGGATCTAAATATGCAGCAAGCCTGAATGTGACTGTACATGTTCAGTTTCTGGAAAGTATTTTTACTTGACCTTCATACCATTTTTTCAGCCAGGCAAGTAGAAATGAGTGGGAGACCAGGGCAAGAGTAGACCTGGCAGGTTTAACATTCTTTTCATAATGTTATTTTTAAGGGAGGGATTTAATTCCTTTTTCCAGGAGCAAAAGTGACTGGATGTATTCATTTCCACCAAACTAGTGACTTCCAAGAGCTAGGCCATCCAGTAGAGAGACAAAGAACAAATGTTGACAGTTGTAAAAGGATGACAGAAAGCATTTACACTGATAATCCTCTGCATTCATCAGTCAAGAATGTCAGAGCTTTTGGCAAGCAGTTAAGTCTCATTAACCTACTATGGAAAATGAGGATAAGTGTATTCTCCCATATGGAAACTGAAACACAGGGATATCCAGTCCCCTGCTTACAGCTGTACAGTGTACCAGTACAGCAGCAGCAGTATTTCTACTTAGAGCCCTTTTTGTTTAAAAAACCCCAAAACATTAGTATGTGGGTGAGATAGGGAAGGGGAAAGACCTAAAATTAAATTTTGCAAAAGTTAACTTGTGTAGCATCCTAATAACATTGTAATGGAGCATAGATAGGGACAGAAGCTCAGTAGCTGAGTAAGAGATAACTATAACTAACATTTAAAGGCTTTCCAGTTAGTGCTATGAAATGGCTGTCTCATCAGGACTGCTTCTGCCTCTTACATCAGGCCACAAAGTCTCAGGACTTAATAGGGAGTAAAACCAGGAATATTTAACTTAAGATTTTACAAACAAGCTCATCTGCTATTCCATTCCATCTTTACCTTAATATAGAATTTTCTTTCTGTAAGATGATCAGTTGATGGAATCTTTACTTTCTTTCTCTGCTATGTCAATGTTTGCATTGATAGAAACTGTTAACCTGGATTTTACAAACTATGAGCAAAGTAGACTGATTATTTGTCTAATTTTTTTCCCCTCTGGCAAAAATATTCTGGCATTCAGAATTATTTGAATTTTAAATCTCTGGGTCCTAAAGTATCAAGATCTAGGGTAGGTTTGGTCTATAGAATACTGTTAGAATTTGGATTACATCGTTGATGGTACTGAGTCCACCATGATTTCCTGTTTAGCTTCCTCATTTGTGCATCTTTTTATTTTTCTTCTCTTCTTGGATTTTCCCCAATCTTTACTTGTATTTTCACTCTACTGTTTTATTTCTGTCTTGTCCTTGTGTACTAGCACTTAATGTGGGGGGTAAAGGAGATAAAAGGAGGTTCTGCTAAGAAAAAAGTTAGAGCTTACATTCTTTCCATTTACTGTCACCCTTCTTCTCCTTCATTTTTAAAATTACTGTTCTTTACTTCAAAGTGTGTGTAATATCTGTTCATGCTCTCCTATATTTTAGCATCACATGCTAAAAAAATATCTCAAAATTCCAAATCACAAAAGACTAAATTTTAGAACAAGCTCATTCCAGCAGTTTTCAAAGAGTGCAAGCCTGAAGCAAGAGCTCATATGGGCACAATTTATTTCTTCTTTTTGTAGTCCGACCAGGTCTTGCCAAAAGCCCATTAGCAAACCTCAGCTGTCATCTGGGGTTGGCTTCAGCACACTCCTCTTCTTGTCATGAAAGTTTTCAGGTCCAGCAGAAGATGGGCAAGGCCCAGCAGTGTACATGGGGCAGTGATGAGGTCAGTGGGTGGTAGTTAAGCAGATCTCAAATATATTGCACAAAGCTCTGACTATGAGGAATGTTTTTATAATCATTTGTTCCCTGCTGGAAACCTGCAGGTTTCAGTCCCTGAGGAATTCTTTGGCAGTCACTGGAGTTATTCTGGCAGTAATTGTTCAGCTGGATCTTCCAATCTTTTGGATCCATTACAGACCTTTCAAGGATGGAGTACGCAGCTATAACACTCTCTACCAACTGAGAGTGTGGTTGTTTAGGAAGCTTTCTGCTTTAACAAGCAGCAGAGAAGACAATTAAAAAGACATCTTAGTGACCTGACATCTTCATGAAAACCTGCCCTGATGGTAGCATCTGTCCTCCTTCCCTCTTCCCCTGATCCTGCCAGGGCTTCCCAGAACACACTATTCCTTGTTACTTGATATAAGACTTCCAGTTTTGCAACTTTTAACCTTTTCCTTTCACTTGAAGACAAAAGTCAGACTTCAAGTTGAAAACAGTTGTGAAGTTTAAAATAGTGTTCTAAACACCAATAATAATAAAATGTTCCAATGCTAGAAGTGATCAATGGGTTGCCTAAAAGCAAAAATTAGACAGTTACCCTCAAACAGAAGCACATTTCCCGGTGTCCTCAAGCATCCATTGAACAGGACCACTACAATTCCTCTTTGAGAGTCCCCAATCTCTGTGTTACTCGGAAACAACCCTTCGATGAGTGATGCATCTTTGATAACAGCAAAGATGAGTTTTGTTCTTGCTACATCCAAGAGTAGTGCCTCAGACTCAACAAAATGATGGGCCTGATGGGTCCCTTCCAACTCAACTGGTTCCATGATCCTATGCAAACCAGCAAACCCCAGGATGTGGAATTTGGGTTTGTACCTTATGGTGATGATCTGCCCAAAGTCCAGCTCGTAGTTGTTGACTTGGGCGATGAAGATGGCGGCCACGGCCTCGTACAGCGCCGTCCCGTCCATGTTGATGGTGGCTCCCACGGGCAGCACGAAGCGCGCGATCCTCCTGTCCACGTGGTTGTTCTCCAGCAAGCACTTGAAAGTGATAGGCAGAGTGGCTGAGCTGCAGGACAGCAAAGAAACACACACTGGGTTATTTTTGTTTCTGGGGAATTGTGGTAAACCTTGTCCTGGCAGGGGAGGTTTCACACAACCATCCGAGCTTCTGGCTCCTTGCTGTGCCTGGGACTCACTTGCCAGGTAACTCACTCCTTTGCTTGATGGAGGATAAGGACAGTTACATGTGTAAATGTTGGAGTTAGTGCTAATTTTGCCTCCTAAATTTAGAAATATTTTTCTCTCTTTCACTGTTTCAGAAGCAAATGGACAGAATTCCCACAGAAGCACTCAAATGTTGTACACTCAAATGCAAAACAAAGGAACAACATTCTGTGCAGCTTATTACTAAAATCTCTGAAAACTGTTTTACACTTACGGTTTCTAAAAACGTTTCCTTCCAAGCCTACCTCATATGTAAACAATTTTTTATTTCTGCAAAGGGTTAGACAAAGATCTTATCAACAGCAGCCTGAAAATAAAAGTTGCAGACAAAACGTCTGTATTTAAAAATATAAAATCCAATTTTCTCCCTGGGACAAATCTGCCCCCATCCCTTGTCTGATCATGTAACAACACATAACTGCAGGTCATAGAATAATGTGTACATATGTAAATGAGATGTGTATGGAATAGAATGGAAGGGTATAAGAACATTTGACAGGTATTCATTTTAAATTGAGCTTGATACCCTAACAAATATTTCTGATTTTTGTTTCCATTAACTGAGACAATTAACAAAACACTATATGGTCATATATTTTCTCTTTATTAATAAGAGGTACACATTTTTAAATACTAATACACTGAAATATATTTATTTGTATATTTTATCAACCTTTTGGTAACATTCTGCATTTTACGATGTGGTGTCTCATTGACTGATGTCATGATAATGAGGCTGCATTCAAGTGAGTGAATATTTTTTCATTTTTTTAATGAAAAAAAATTTTTATGGCATATTAGTTTGTATGGAAAATAAGTAACAGCACTGAAAAAATACACAAATCACAAAATATTTCCAAATCTAATACACTGCTTACTATCTGAGACTATTTAAATAGATGTAATATAGCAAACTTCTTCAAAATTGCTCCAAAGTTGCCTCTTAAAAAAGATGGCAATAAGGGAAATACAGTATGGTGACACTGTGATCTTCAGTGTCCTGTTGTCCTGTGATTTACATGCCAGGAAATCCAGGTGTCTTCCCCCTGGTTTGGCAGTTCACATTGCTCTGTCACTGTGTGTAGTGACCCTCACATCCCAATGTGACTCCAACACCTAAATCTTATAGTGACCATGAACTGTTCTCAATTGAAGATAACACATTGCATCTGCAAATTCTTTCTCAGTTGTTGCAAATGTCCTATAAAAGCACAGAGGGATTCCAGAAACTCTGAAATCACAACCCCAAGTTTGCAGGAATGCCTAAGCAAAATGTTTCCATGAGTAGGAGTTGTCATTTCATATTTGTGCAAGCTGTTGTTCAAGGAAAGTAACCGTGTTTGGAAAGGAAAAGTAACTTCCTGCCATGGAAACACAAAAGAAAAAAGACAAGGCTATGTTTTCAGTATGATAGTTCTGTTTTCTATAACTTCATGAAGTCTGACTGCTGAATTATTTACTACAAACTGGCAGTCACTGCCTGAAAATCCAGACCAAAGTCTTTCTCTAAGTATGTAAATATGCTGGAAAGGCAAGAAAGCAATGGAAATCTGATTACCTCCTGTAATTGGGGTATATTAAATTTTTTAATTCAGGCAGTCCTAGTGTTTAATCAATATTTGCTTTGAAAAACAAACACAGCAAAGCATAACCCCCTAATCCCCAAAGCTGCTCATGAGATGTTTCTCTCTTGAGTAGCGTGCCTGTCATTTTTCACACGGTCATTTGTGAGTGACTGAAATTCTCTGCCTCTTGTTTACCATAAAATGTTCATAAAAAAGGAGGCTGTGGCTCACAAATAGTGTAGAACTGAAAGCCCTGGGAGTAGCTGCAACCAGGAGCAGACTCAGTAGCATTGCAAGATGTTCTGACTAGAGGCTTCGCCAAGAAAAAGTTATTTAACTCATTGTCTCCCTTTCCTGCAGCTACTCAGTTTTGGAGAGTTACTTGTTTCTAAAAACAGCCTTCCCTCAGACATTTGACTTTTCTGTAACAAAACCCTGTCTAATTTCTCTGGGTGGAAATAAGGACAAAAAGGTAATCTTACAAGTCCTTGCCACCTTGCCCACAGTCTGACATACAGAATATTAAACCTGTCTGCCTGTTCTGAGGGCAGAGAGCTGAGCTGTGAAATGTGCAAATTTTAGCTGATTAACATGTTACAGTTTGGTTGAGATGTGAAAAATATTGTGCAATACAATCTCCAATACCAATGGCACAACCAGCAAAATCTGTATCTGTTTCCGTTGTTGTAAACAGATTTTATGACACTGTTTTTGCAAGAATTCAACTTTTAAACTTGTTCACTGTCTCACAGTTAGTTGTGTCTTTCATTTGAATTTTATGCTGCCTGAAGTAAAATTTCTAAGGCCCATAAGAACGTTGGATTTGTTGTTTGTTAAATATTACAATAATAAAGAAAATGGTCAGAATGTAAATGCAGTGATGGTGAAAAACATGCAAGATAATGAAAGAAAACACATTTCCAGATTCTTTTACTTTCTTAGATGGGCAACTACTACATTGTCTCACTCAAATTTATGACCCTGCCTCTTAGAGTTAGTGGGATGTGTGTCCTACATACTCCTGCTGAAAGACTTTCAGAACTCTCTGCTCAGATGAGAAATTTAATTTATGATATAGAGGTAGTCTTCTCAATTTGCACTAAATTTGCTTATATGTGCTTTCTGTATTTCTCCTTGCACAATCAGCTGCTGAAACACAAGATGTTAAAAATCAGCTTTGTCCTCTCTCAGCCTGGATTGTCTTTTTAACCTCTCACTTAGAAGATTGCTACTTTACATCCCTGGTTACCCTTTCAGCACCTGTTTCATAGAAATGAACTTTTCCTGAATACAGCTGACAAAAGTTGTGTGGAACATCCTAGAAGGGGTTGTCCAATGATGTTCCATTTTTACTCATATTGTATCATCTGGCACACACCAGAAAAATATGTCTTATTTAAGGCTTTGGATTTGGTGGCTCTCAGGAGGAAAAGGGACACAATAAAAAGGTCCTACTGTAGTTTTGGAGTAATATTAATGTATAATTTCAATATTATAAAAGACATTATCAAATAATTTGTCTAGTTTGTCTTTCTAGTTAAACTCAGTGATGTTTGCTTTCTTGAAAGCTACTTTTATCCACTGTTAAACAGTGGGGAAGTAACATTAAAGCCTGACATTTAATATTTACTAAGAGAAAAAATAATACTCTGAAGCACTGATCTTAATCTGTTAAGGCTTTTAAAAACTGATCTAAAGCTTTCAGCTGAGAGGAATCTTCTGCCAGCATTAACTCTAACAATTAAAAATACATTTTGAGAGTCTTATCTCAATTTTGGGACAAAATGCTGCAGCTGCAGAGACCGAGCATAAGCTAATGCTGGCCCAGGCCAAGCTCTTCCTAGCGAGAGCCACAAAGACAGCCAGTCACTGTGGAAGAGCAGCTGTTCAGCCTGCTCTGTTTATCTTATCATTCAAATGCATTTTGATATTTGCTCCAAAAAATCAGCAAACTGATCTCATCTCCCCTTTCTAAATCTGCCTTTAATTTACACGGTGCAATAGCCAAGATCTTAGTGTTTCGTAAGCAGAAAAACCCTTGAAAAACTCATGGTTTATAATTTGTCTTCAGAGAAGATGAAAATTGCTTCTTTTGATGGGATGTACCACTGAAAAGATGCTGCTTTAATTCATTAATGATATGGAAAGATGACCTAGAAAAACAAATTCCCTCTTGCCATTGGAATTAGGAAAGCTAAAATCAAGAAGAATTTTGCCTGCTGGCCAAATTGTGCTTTTTCAGCGTAGTAAAAGGTGACAAGATCAGGGGCAGTGTGAGGGGAAGAAAGCAGAGTCAGAAATGCCCACACGTGCAGCCTGGACACCCCAGAGCAGGGTGGGCAGGGGCAGCACGTGCTGTGCAGGAAAGAGGAGCTGTGTGCATTCATTTGTGTCCTAAATGATGCACCAAAGGAAAAAGATCTGCTTTTCTGCCCCTGCCTCTGCACTGGTACTGGTGCAGACCAATTGCTGTGGTTGGGGTTTCTGGAGAAGCATAAGGGGGTGAGAGTGGGGTGCAGAACCTTTCACTGAAGGGAAATAAGCAGAAATAATGTTAAGATGCAGTAAAATCCTTGCCAGCAGATGGCTGCTCAGTGGCTTTCAGGTTCTCCTGTGTTACATTCTTGGGCTTTGTAAATGGTATTGTTTTTGCTTCTTGTAGTTTGATCTTTAGCTTTAAAAACAAGCTTTCCCCAGGTGCAGAGTATCTCCAGTGAGTATCAGCACACTGTCTCGTGGTTTTCTTTCTATCTTTAGATGTAGACCTGAACCAACACAGAAACATCTCCAAGAAACACATCAGTATTCTTAAAATCAACTCTTTGTTCTCCTCTAGGATGATCTGAAAATCCAATACCCACATGACAAGTGTTATATAATGCCCCTGTGGCAAGCCTTATTTAACCAAATACAGATGTGTTGACTGTCAGGAGAGGCAGCTCTCCTGTCCAGCCCCAGTTATTTGTGCATGTTCTTTTGGCAACAGCTCAGTTATGTGCAGTATCCATTCCTTTCAGTGTAATGAAGGTGAAAAGTTCAGCTATCTCTAGAAAAGACACTGTGATTTGAGCAGAAAAAACGTGGAAACCATGTTGGGCCTGTGTTGGATTTGCAAAATACACACACTCTTAAGGAGGGACAAACGGCTAAATCCAAAAATGTCCAAGGCCCAAATCCATATGTTAGAGCCTTCCCTCAGGACTCCCCTTAAATTTGGTGGTACTTTAGCTCCTGCCAGTAAAGATACTAAATCTGGTACGAGTCCTGCTGGTGGTTCTGGTGCAGACTGAGCTGCCAGCTGGTGCCAGAGCTCTGTTCCCAAATACACCCTTTCTGGGCCTGTAAGTAATTATTCCTTGCACAGCTGAAGGGAGCATGTGCTGTCAGAGGGCATTCTCACATCAGCTTGTAATGGGTAAGGAAATGGGGCTGAAAAAAACATCAAGTAAGAATTGGTTTCCCTTACAGAGGCTCAGCAGAGACAGAAACCTCTCTCATCAGTTTTCAGATCAGTAAAGGACTCCTAAATTGGTGATAAAACCAAAATGCAATGCTGATGCATAATATGGAAAATCAAGAAAAGTAATGATTTTGAAATGGTGGAACACATGCTGATCTTGTAAGTCTTTATTAAACCTCCCTTGTTAAAGGCATCTATACTCATAAAAAAACTTGTTTGTTTTTTTTCTAAAAGGAGAAATACTCAGATTTTTAGTAAAAGCTGTTTCCTTCTAGAAAAAAATAGAATGAAAAGAATGGCACAGATTAAAAATCTGAATTGTCAGCAATAGAGTTTTCAGAAAGAGAATTCCTAGAGAAGCAGGGAAGGTAGTCAAGTATGTCAAATGTGAGCCTGATGAGCCTTTTCCAGCATTAACATCTTTGAGTGCAAAATTCTCATCTTACTTGAATCTGGGGATGTGGTGACATCTCAAGCTACAAACTTTGTACATTCTAATAAAAAATCTTTCCTTAATTATTTAAGTGTAGTTAGAGTTTAAGCACCACCCACCATGTAATTTTTTTGACTGTGTGTTTCTCAGTATGCTGCTCTTTATAGGTCATTTTGGAGCAAACTATTATATATTGATGCACCTTGTAAAATGTCACAGTGGAAATTCAGTACCTTCTGTACTGAAATAATAATTCCCTCTTCCCCTGTCTTTTAATCTTCTACATTACTTTAGCCACAGATGCCATGAAACTGTGTTGTCATATTGGCTACACAGAAATGTTATTTTAATTGTCATTTCTGTATCTGCTCCATGCAAGGCAATTCCAGCCCTTTCAAGCACATCTCATGCACCATTTTATCCACGTTGGGAGTCATTTTCATAGCCTGTTCACAAGCTGGTTTCCATTTTCACTGTACCTTTGTTCAGCTATGGTTAAAACTCATTGTACATCTTCTCTGAGAAGGGTGTAAAAGATACTATTCCTCGAGCACAACAGTTAAATACTTTCCCAGTGCTGGACAATAGCTTGCAACCACAGTCTTTTGTATAATGTACCAAGAAACAAAGACTAACATGAGTGGAAAGGATAAAATGTTTCCACATGACTGAAATAGGAGGTTCCCCACTAATACCAAAGATGAAGTCTGAACAAACTGTATGTCCCTCGTATACATTAACTTTGTAGAAGCACAGTATTTTTATATGGAAAAATAACTTATTTCCGTTCTAGTCCTCGATGAAAAAAATGGTTTTATCCAATATTTTTTAAACTAAGGGAAAACAATATTATTGTGCAGTGGTTCCCACATAACTTCCAAATGTTAAGACACACATTTTTTAAATTTATACCAGTGAATTGGGCAGAGACCATTGTTCAGATACAGATATATCTGCTCCACTGTAGCAATAGTGTGCTCTTCCCAAGAGGTAGCTGCAGTAAGGATCTAGCAAGTATTTTATTGGATCTGTCTAAAAACTCTGTAATACCTGGAGGATGTGGCCAGAGCAATGAGCAAGGCTTGAAGGATCCCTCTGATGAAGACAATGGGATTCTTCTTGGTGATGAAGAAGTACATCATTGGCAGGATGAAGAGCCCGTGCACCACCAGGCCACACACCACAGTAATGGCATAGAAACCCAGCTTCTTCCCAATGGCCGAGGGATCATCCATTTCTAAGATTTTGCCAGCTATTAGGAACACAATTCCAAATGGAAAATACCTGAGCAAAAAGAAAGACAGTCATTATTAGGAGACAGCTCCTTTCCATCACACAGTAAGAGCTGCAGCTCCTTCCAGTGGCAGTGCAGCACCTGCCCTGGCTGGGTTTGGCTGTTCTGCCTCCACACCAGAGCAGGATGCCCAGAGCACTGGGCTGGACAGTTTTGTCTGTGGGGTCCCCATCAGCACAGCTGGGATTATGGCACTGGCAAGGAACAACTTTAAAATGTTTTGGTTCCAAAGGCAGCTCTGACTTTTTAGCTTCAAGCAGGTAAATTAATGGGAAGAGGGGGAATGAATCCTGAGCTCCTCTCGTGTGTTTATGTTCCTGTAGCTGTTCATGGATTTTCGTTGGAAGCTCTTAAGTAAACGTTTATATTGCCTTTGGAAGACAGAGGAGAAACACCAACATGTATTAGACATGCTCTTGGACTGCCTGGGGGTTTGATTTGGGGCAGATAAATAGGCAGAAGAATTGTTACTTTCTGAATCCACTCTGGAAAGGTGCTTTATAAAAAATGTTGTGCTTCTGTGTGCAGCTGCATACAAAGTCATGGATGCCAAAAAACTTTTAAATTAAAGAAAAAATCTGGGAGCATCCAGCCATCTTCCACTTGCAGCTGTGTCATCTCCAGAGACTTGACACTACTTCCTCGTTTTCCCAGAAATAAACTACCTTCTTTGTCATATCCACCCAAGCAATCATTCCCTGACCCAGGTCAGTCAGATTGGACCACGTAGCCGGAAAGAGAGGGTGTGGGCTGAGTGTTGGTTCCCTGTCCCACATCAGGCTGACCCACACTGGGGGACATCCTGAGGTGGGGAGAAGGTGCTAAGCTGATAGCTCTTGTTGTTGGCAGCCACCTGCTGTTCCTCTGATCTTTGGGGCAGGCGTGTTGGCAGGTCTGGCTGGGCCTGCAGCAGTGCTGGAAGGGATGGAGGTACCAGCTAGAACATCCCATCATACCTGTCCCTTGTGTGGCCTGGGTGGCTATGACCCTCTTGGCATGCCCAGGGGTTGGCAGTGCCCTCAGGGCATACAGCACACCCCACCCAGCTGTACCATGTTCTGCTATGTGGGAGTAACTCAGAGGGTGTCCTGTCAAAAGGATGGTACAGACCAGGGACAGATATATGTGCATCCTCAAATGCGATGCCCTGCAAAACTAAGGATTATTCATCCTCATTTATTTCCCTGGAAATAAATGTGTGACATTTCTGTGCATTTTCTTCTGTTGAAATATTCTTACTCTTTTTAAAAAATACTGATTTTCTTAGCAAAAACAGTTACTTACCAAACAGCAACTGCCACTATCTTCATGACAGATTCGTTCAAACACTGGCAAAAGCTGACCAAAGGGACACCGCTGTTCCCCATTCTTCCCAACATTATACCTGCAATCAGAGCATTTGGGTTCAGTTTCTCAGGTGTCTTCACACACAACCCCAGTGCTTTCCCTCCCTCCTGAAACTCAAAGCTCCCTGGTCACAAGGCTGTGTCCTGAACCATCAGTCGTAGAGCCCTGCGTGGGATTTACCTGCTCTGAGTGATCCGTGGAACACAAACTGAGAAACATTTTCTAGTGAAGAAATCTGTCTCTGCCTACAACCAGGCAGCACGAACGAGGACTTGGGAGGCAAAGCCAGGTTTTGAGGTTTGCTCTGGTAATGGGGAATTAGTAATGGAGTCTCTGTCATATTTTTAGTAGTTTTCTGTCTACGTGATAATGATTAACCTTTATAGTCAGTCAGGCTTTGCAGTTTTGGGGGAGGTAAGGAAATGAAGATTCATGGAGAGAAAGGCCAAATTGCTGTGAAGACTAACCAGTAAAGAAGAAGGCAAATAAAACCCATGTATGTGCCCCCATTGCTCAGAAAGCAACTGGATACAGCTCTGGGATGTGTCATCTAACCATATAGCTCCAGACAGTGTTATTTCCATTAATGCATATAAATAGACAACATTTTCCTATAGTTAATTATCCTCCTTGAAAGAATTATAAGGAATCGAGTCAATTGCTCAAGGAAACACTTCAAAAACTGGCTGCACCAAGGGAGTTTGCCTTTGAGGGGAGCTGCCTGGGGAGGCAGGGGCTGGCAGTGGGGTTTGTGCTGCCGCTTGCTCTGGGTGTGCAGTGTCCTTGCTTTGAGCAGGAGCCCAGATCTGTCCCTTGGAGCCCAGAGCTCGGAGCCACGTCTCAGGCAGCACTGCTTCCAGGGCCATTCCCTGCTGAGGCAGGCGGGGAGGCTTTCAGCTGCCTTATCCAGGGATTTCACAACAGCAGTGCTCTCAAGATGGGAGTTTGTAAGCCTGTTAGATCATCTAAGCCATAACTTTTAGGTCAGAAGACAACGCTCTTTCATTAAGCTGTTTCAATGCTTCCATTTTGAAGGGTGGGGGGATGATGCGATAGGCTGAAGACAGCCTTGGCCACATCCTTTGTTCAAAACAAAAGCCTGAAGTAGTCCTTGGTGATGGTAATTATTGAGGGTTTGCTGTCTCAGGTTTGTTGGTGGCTGGTACAGCTGGAGTGACCCAACAGCCATGCTGTGGGTGACAGTCCTTTGTGTCCATCAGCCAGGAAGAAGCCAGGTCTCAGCTTCTGCCTGCTGAACCCTGGGCTAGCAGGACTGAGGGGCTCGGTAAAAGTCATACATTCAGTTCAGGGCAGACAATGAATGATCTTCTGTTCTCAGAAGCAGAAAATTGCCCTTGGTCCTAATAAGTAGATGTAATTAATTCATTCATATCCAGTAGGTTTTGACTGGAATAGTGTTTGTGGTGATGTTGTACTTTGGAAATGGACTATAAAATACTACAAACTGGGAGACAGCCAGTTTCCAGCAGGGTTGTACAGGGAATACCACCCACTGGAGAAGCTAAAAAAACAGAGACAAATCCACTAATTCCAGGTTTGAATCTTGACCCCTTGTGCTAGTATGAACCATAATATAAATACAGTCAAAGATGTTTTATGGAACTACCTTTGCTGACCAGATTAACTTCCAAGAATAAATTTACATAAGGAAAATTTGATCAGCATTTTCCTATAAAAGTCATCAGAACTTTATGGTTAACTTGGAAATGTTTGTTTAAACTTCTTCTTTGAAATCCACAAACATAATATAACACACATGGCACCAATTAGTTCCTTCAGTAAGTTAAACTAAATAAATAAGCCAGACAGAAGTTCTTACTCTTACAATCTGGTAGGTGGTATAGAACTATCTTCATTGCAGGATACCAAAAATAAAATCAAGAGGTTTCAATCAAAAAAGAAATATCCACAGATGAAAAACTCATAAAACAATATGGGTTGGCATACTGGTAGAGGGCCCATGGGTCTGATCTGGTGGTAGTTCCTACCTCCTCTGAGCACACTGTACAAGGCTGTCTTACAGTCAGCAAAGGATGGGTCATAAATAAAAGCTCAAAATAGTTGAGAAAAAAATAAAAGATTGTAAGTGAATGCACAGAACACCCAACTCCGTGGAACAAAAGTCATCAAGGATTTTGAAAATTTGCCTTTGAAAGGGTGGGGGTACAGCTCTGTAACAATCTTGCCTTTTCCCCAAAAAAGTTTAGATAGAAACAGTTAAAAGAGCTGAGTCAAGAAACCAAGCAACCCAACTCCAATCCTTTCATCTTGAATGGACACTTGGATTATTCCAAACCAAACACGTCTGAAACCTACCCATTGTGGCAGAGAATATCACAATCCCAAGCACATTCATGCCATCACTAGCTCCTGGCTCTGATTTGTAGATCACTTCAGGAGGGGGGGTGATATCCAAGGCAAAGTTCTGGACGTTGGAGCCATTCTCGTCCTGGACTCCGTAGATGATGATGCGACGAGTGGTGCTCTCGGACGGCGCTTTGTTCGATTTAATGATGGGAATACTCCTGGTGCGATACTGAAAGAAAGCAAAGAGGTTTTTATTACAATACCCCAACAGGAATGAATAGTTTAATGAGACCTCCTAAGTGCTCTGTTTCAACAATGCTGCATGTTGAAGGGACTGGCATGAAAAGGAGAATGAACACTCCTGTCTTAATCTGATAAAATTTGTAAAAACAGTGTGAATTTTTGGAAAAGCATAACAAAACCAGAGTTTCCTATAATCAGACCCTGGTGCAGCAAACACTTCGCTTCCTGACAGAGCAACTTTCCTGTAAGATATAATTAGGAATGACTTTCTGAGTGCCCTTCTCTTTGTGAGGTTCCCATGAAATGTTCCCCCAGGTGAAATAAATACATCCATGCCTCTTGCTCCTTTAGAACTTTTAGACAAGCTTTTCTTGCCCAATTCCAACCTGAGTAATTAGATTCTTCCCCAATACATTATTTTGTTGCTTTAATTGAACATGGTATTCTATTCTTCCTTTGTGTGGTGTTGCAGGGTGCTCTTAAATAAATTCCAGCTCTTCTCAGATGGACACGGAGCTGACACGGGAGTGCATATCTATTCTCTAGTCACACTAGAGAGCACTTTATCCCTGTTTTGCCTTCAGATACCATGGCTGCTGAGGCTAAGGGAATAGAACTCATTAATTCCTAAATGCTGAAGGTACTAACAGTGTCTGCAGTCCTATGCCATGTGTATATCTGGGTTGTGTTTTACAAAGGTACATGTTTCATAACAATGCTGGCTCATGTCTTTCATCAGTAAAAGGAATATAGCCACTTACCTGCTTGAATGTGGCCTCAACAAGATTGGCTGGAAACATGTTCCTAAAAATGAACAAATAGAAGAATAATTTCTATGGAACTGAAACCAACTTCTTTTTACTGTGTGTTGGGTCTGCCATGATAAATCAGTTCTTTACCCTCCTGGAGAGCAAGGGCTGGGCAGGTGCAGAGGATGCCACTCTCTCCCACTGAGCCATACAGCTGTGCCTGGCTGAGCACAGCTCAGCAGAGACAGCTCTTCAGAACTGAAGTTTTGGGACTTGCTTCCAAACACCTGGGGTGAGACCCAGGAGCTCTGGCTACAAATTCTGGCTCTGCCACAGTCTCCGTGTTGTAACTGGGGTGACAGAATTGCTATGATTCCCTTCCCCATCTGCTGAATGGTGGGAAGAATATTCTTTTATTTATATTCTTTATTTTATGTACTATTCTTTTATTTATATTTTGTCTTTCCTACTTAGATAATGAGCTGTTCTGGACAGTCAGGGATGTATTCCTGAGACCCCTGTGTGCTGTAATCTGCTGTGGGACTTCTAAGTACTCCTGTGCTAATTCATAAACTCTAGTACCCCAATATATTTTCATCACTAAAATTGCAAGTGATGTATACTTTGCAGTGGTTTGGTCAAGAACAGTTTGCTTTTCAAAAAGAGGATCTCTTTCCTGAGATTGAGATTGAGCTAAAAGAGATTGAGCTGAAAGAGTTGAGATTAGAGCTGTATACTGCTAAATTTTATTTAGATACAGTTCTGAGGCTTCAGAATAAGAACCTGAATGAGGTCAACAGCTTCATCTTTGCTCACAGCTGAGCTACAGAGGAAGGCAATGACCCAACACTGAGATTGCAGGGAGACCAATAGATTTTTAATTCCAAAAGAGATTATTTTTGTCACCTTTTCTGACTTTCTGTGTATCTCACTCTGTAACATTTCACATAATTATATATGGAGCTAATTTATAATTTCAGTTTGAGCTGGAAAGACAGAAAGACATTCAATCCTTATTTGAAATGGAGAGTACACCCTCTGCAGGCTTCAAAGAGGAATCATAGTATAATTAGGAAAAAACAGCTAAAAAATCATACATTTCCATGCAGCATTTGGGAACCAATATTTGTGTGATGATTCTAATAGGATCATTTTCAGGACTGATTTATTTCCAACCCTAAGCCTCTGAACCTTGGGGCAGAAGAAAGTGAGAGTCTAAGCACTGGCTTAGAAAACATGATTTTTTTTCTAAGTGATCATAACATGATGTTATGGTCACACTTAAAAGTATGAGGTAGATTCTGCATCAGTAGCATCAATCACTGAGAGCAATTGCTACAAAAAGGTAATTGATTATCGTTTTTAGGGAGAACTGTGGGAGAAAATTTTTAATTAAGTGATAGTAGTACTGCCTAATGATTGAAAGAGAAGACTGAACATGAGAGGAAGTTGTTGGCCTGCTGCTCGAGGGCAGATGAGTCTCATAAAGGCATTGGATTGTCTCTGCAGACTGTCCATGAAGCTGCTGATTGTCTGGTTCAAATGTCAAGTGTGCAGCCAAAGCAAGACACAGGCAAGAGGCAGCTGTGCATCCTTTCCCTGTCAGGTGCAGGCACAACCTTGTGCCTGAGCCCTGGGGCTTGGCTGACACAGGGAACCAGCTGAGGAGCAGCTGGATGGAGCTGGGCCTGGCAAAGTGGAGAGGATGTTCATAGGAGGGGGAGCACTGGACAGTACAGGTGGTTACTGCTTTATTATGCCTCATAAGGGAATTCTGCTTGCACATTGTTAAAGGCTTCATTAATATTAACTTGCCTTTATTTTGCTGGGCTGAAAGGTGCTGCAGGAGTGCTCAGTGTGGTGGTTGTGCTCTGACCTGCTGTGTGAATGTGAAATATCCTGAAAGCAGAGATCCACACAGAGATTCCGGCACAGCTCTGAATATGCACCTCACGTACAAGCTGTGGCTTTGCACAGAAACATGAATTTAATTGCTGATGACTTCCACTTTCTCCCTCATAGTCCTAATTAGTAGAATTAAGAACAATTAAGACTGCTTGAGAAGGGAAATATCATATGGTTAGTAGCTAGATTAAATGTTAGACAAATTTGTAGAGGATTAAAGCATTTTGTTTCTTTATCATTCTTTATCCTGCAGGAATTACAACTACCCACTTAATACTAGATGCTGGAATTCTCCCAATATTTTTTAATAAATTATGCACTGTGATCCAGTCTTTGAGACTAGCCTTACCAAAGTTACACAATTTATCTGGTGAAAGGATGACCTAAATATGCTTGCCAGAGCCTCAGCTTATTTTTATTTTAAGCTGGTTTACTTGGATTGAGAAAATCCAGTATTAGCCAAAATTAAGTTTTGTCAGTCGAAAACATTTAAGAGAGCAATTGGTGAATGAGAACTTTAATGGACTAAAAACAAAAAATGAGAAGAAAGAATTGAACTGCCAGCTAGAGATGGAAGGTAATTGGGAGGGTTTCTTGGTTCTGTCAGGCCTCTTCAGAAACACTTGTTGCTTGAGGGGTATGTTTTGCTGCACACTGATATTGCCAGCCATGAGCTGGCTGTTTAGCAAGGATCTCCTGAGAGTGGTTCAGAACAAGGGACTGAAGGGAGAGTGATAAGGAGGATTTGACTTTTTAGTACAGAACTGGGATGGGGAGGCTGGCTGGATCCTCACAAGGTCCTGGGATAGCCCTCCTGTGGGTTCCTGCCCACCAAACCTGAGTCCTGGGGAATGCTGCAGAGTGGGAGCTTCAGTCTGGCTCAGAATCCAGACACGTGCATTTGCCCCAGCATGCAGCAAAATGAATGGCAGAGTGTTGTACCTGTCCATCTCTGCCCACCTCTGTTCCAAGCACCCAGCCTGCCACCAGATTGTCCCCTGCAGACCTCTATGAGCTTTACTGCAGCTCTGGATGAGATCCAGATGTACTCACATGGATCAGGTCCCCAGATCCTAAAGTGAGGCTGTGTCTCTACTCAGGCACTGTGTTTATCACTGATATAAATTAAAGTAAATTTATCACTGATGTAATTAAAGTCACTGCCAGCACCTAGGAAGGAGTGATTCAAACTGAGCTCATCATTACTGTCAGCACCTATAAATACTCTTGTCTTTGTTCAATTAAGAAAGCCAAGCAGATAAAATACTTTTGAAGCTGCAGCATTGCTTGCAGATTGCTTACAAGACACAGGTCACAAAATAACAGTGCAGGAAACTTAACGTGATCTGGGATTTATTTCCCTAGCACAAGCAATATTGTCTAACCTCAGTGGCTCAGTTCAGCATTGCTAGCAGAAATAATTTCACGTAAGAGTAGGGAATTAAACCTACTGCATAACAGTGACTGAGTCTGGTTTAAAACATAGATAAATTTAGGTCTGAGACAAGGATATTGTTGTAAAACAGAAACTGAAGACATAGGCTTTCTGGTTACATAAAAAAATTACAGCTAAATACTGCCTGCCCTGAGGAATAACATTTCCCAGAGCATCTTCTGCCTCAGGAACTCTGCCAGATAGAGCAGGAGTATTCAGCTGGGCCTAAAAGGATGAATGTGCATGAAACTTGAATTCAGCTCAGTGAACCTTCTACAGAGCTGAGCTACTGAGCCCAGCTGGCACGGCAGGCCTGGCCTGCCTTTGCTGTGACAGCAGCACATACGCACAAGTGACCCACTAATCACCATCTTTGACTGCAGCTGCTGTGATGCACAGGCACATTCTACGAGCACATTTTGGAGCCTTTCCCTAATTCTGCATGGGCTAAGAGGATTCAGATGTAGATGTATTGAATTAGTATCGTGTATGTACATATAATACGAGACAACTATGGCAGCGTATGTTCTGCACTTCGGCAGTCGTGGATTTTGAGGAAATCCTAAAGACTTGTATAAAGTGCAGGCAGCACCTGGTCTGAGCAGCAGGTCTGAGGGTGCAGCTTCCCATTAACACAGGATGAATTAGCATCTTGCCAAAAGTGGAAGGTCCTCTTCCCTTCCCCATTGTCTCCCATCAGCTGACCTATGAATTAACAGAGTTGATTGATTTTGCTCCCCTAATTTCAGCAGCTTTAGGAAGCTGAATTGTGTTAGGAAGCCATTCTTCAGCACTGTCCCCAGGATGTGGGAGCCCTCTTGTCTCTTTGGAAGGTGGTTGGCTCAGAACCACAGTAGTGGCACAAAGAGCAGCACAGTTAAACTGTGTCACTGTGACGCTGTTAACCGAACTGTCCAGAGAACATGAGCCTGCAGCCACTGGGACAGCTCCTTCACATCTCCTGGATAACTTCTGTTAGAAATAACAGGCCAGATTCTGCTTTCAGTAATGCTACTGAATGTCTGAAATATTCATTCTGAGTCCTTACCACAGTGCCATTAACTCAAAGCATTCAGCTTTTGCAGATCCTTTCAGTCAGAAATGAGGCCAGCGGCTCTAGCGCGGGGCTGCCGCAGGTACAGCAGATGTTTCCTTGACTCAGAGCACCCCTTCCCTCTGGCACTCTGTGCTCTGCAGCCCCAATCTGGTTTTGCTCTCAGACTTCGATGTTATCAGCACCTAATCCCTGCCACACCAGACAGTCTGGCTGCAGTCTCCCATGTTGTGGAATTAAAGCCACCAGACTGGGGGTTTTGCTGCATATGTGTCCTCATAATATTTATTGGCCTATATTTGCCCTAGGCATAAAGCAGCTTTGGATGCTCTGCTCTCAAATTTGAGCAAGCGTAGCTGAGCTTGCAAGAACATTGTTTTAAGGCTGGGAATTTGACAGTATTCTAATGTTTGCATGTTTGAGACCTTACCCTGTCACTACATACAGCAAGGGTACAGAGAGCAATACTGGATCTTGAATGGCTTGACATGAGAACTGTAAAGTTTCCAAGTTTTTCAAGAATGAACAGCACTGTAGCTTCCATTTACTATAGGCTGAGGTCATTCTCAGTGACATTACCTTAATCTCAAGAATTTGTTTACTTTTTATGTCCTCTGCATGAATTCATCATCAGCTGTGTAGACTCCTCCCTACTGTTACA